TTAGCTGAGATCCCCGCTTGGGCTTTGGGCCTTGCGCCTGGGTGCTGCGAGATTGTGATGCATTTGATGGCGTATGATGGCGTCAAAACACGTGAAACCAAGTTTGGGATTCAATTTACTACATCCACAGGAATCAAAGCAGGCGACGATGCATAATTCCATCGTTCCTGCATGTTCATAATTTACATAATTTCATATGTGTTGGTCTTACCCAGCAGTACAAAGGAAAATCTTCAGACAATGTGCAGAGGGCAAAGCCACACTCAGGACGATACCACTTCCACCACATGCTCCAGAATCTTCAGCAACTGCCCAGCAGGTGTCGGCAGTGTCAACTTGGCATTGCTTTTCTCAACACACGAACCTAAAAATGACCAAAATTGGGGCAACGATGGAAGATACTGTGAAGATATTTGACGATATGCTGATATGGCCCAAACAAAACAAACAAAACAAACAACACATTTCAATTAGATTCAATTAGCCTCCGGTGGCATGGGCCAAACATCTTACAAACGCTCCCTCCCTGGAATCCATGATACTGCCCTGTAATCACCGGAGATCTCTCACGGCCTCCCCAAGAACCTCGCGGGCCTCGGTTGATCAAGGTGCTAACACTATGACAATGGGCAACTAGCTTGTCATTACATCATCACCAAACACACACTGCAGGCTCCCCAACGTTGGCGGGAGCAGACTCATCCAACATGACCAGGGACAACGACCTGGACAGTGGCACGGATTGTCACAGACTCTGGCCCGCTGGCTCGCAGCTTCAGGAGAATTCAGAATCTTCAGGATTTAGGGGGCAGTTGAGCCATGTTGAGCCTTCACAATGAGCCAGTCCTTTTCATCGAGTGCGCTGGTGTCTCGAGGCCCCGGATGCCCCGGTCTGCGCAAGACTACACGGTCCGACCCCTCAGCAATGGAAGGACATGGTCGTGCCAAGGAGGATCAAACTGGCGACTGCAAGAAGTAGTCCGTGTCCTCCGCCTTTTTCCGTGCTAGGCCTGAAACAGTCCTCATGCCAGCAAAGTAAACAATGCAAGCAATCACATCAACCACCACCACCCAGGCCAGAACTGGCATCCCGCCAAAGTAGTCCATATCCTCCACATCTGCCAGCTGTTTCTGTTGGTTTGACCATCTTGAGGTAAATGAACTTGGCTGCTGGGTATGATGGGACTCCAGCAGCTGTGCCGCATTTTTTGGAGGGCCGGCCTTGAGGGCGCAGCAGCCAGACAGATCAGACAGGAGCAGGGCCAGCAGCGCAGACCTCAAGGGGTGCTTCATTGCCCACTGCCAGGGAGGCGTAAATCGTCACCCTGGCGCCCCGAACACAGCCGGGACTTGAGCCATCAAGGTCAGATCATCTCAGATCGATATGTGGAGTGTTCCTGCTAAGTGGAGACACCAAATTTGCCAAATATGGTTGACTACACTTCATTTTCAGTCTTCGGGAGTGATATATTCATAAAATTTCATAAAACTACTGATGAACATCTCAACAGCTCCAGCGGCAAGAAAAAACACGAGCATGTTTCGATGTTTTTTGCATTGAATCCATCGGTCTTGCAGTCTTTTGAATGCTTTTCAGCTGTGAATTGATCGACAGTCCTTCCGTCGGTGCGGCCAGTTTGCACAAAGGCTGTATCTGTCACAACCAAGGTCAGGACAATGCAAGTGGGTCAACATGGGTCAACCAAACATCAAACACAGTGGGTCAATCTGGGTGCTGTTCCATTTGGCATGTTGATCAAAGATGATCAAAGACTATTCCCCCACCTTGGCCGGAATCATAGACATTAGCTGTGCCACCTACCCAACTAGTGTAGCTGGCAGTTCTGGGTCGCAGTTCTCCTATGTTCTCCTCAGTCATACGGCGAAATGCCGTGCACATGGATGTCCATGATGGCACACATGGCACGAGCGAAATAGATGAAGATAGACACCAAGTAGACGAAGAAGCCAATCATGACCCATCTGCGCCTTAGTGGTTTCAGGGTTGGTCTGAAGATGGGCCTACCCCAAAAACCAAAAGCTTAGAAATCAGAAAATGTGTCAAGTTTGGAGTGTAGTACCTTTCTTAGCCAAAACAATTGTGCTTGACGCTGGTTTCCTGATGGGGAAACCCCTGCGACAGCTTCAAAGTTCAGTCTGAGCCATTCCTGCTACAGAAAATGTCAACGGAGCAATGGTCAGAACAAGGGTAATCCCAAGGTCAGGCACAACTTTGTACAAACATCATCGTCATCGTCATCGTCATCATCATCATCATCATCGTCATCATCATCATCATCATCATCATCATCCAACAGCCATTCGTCCTGACATTATCCTGACATTGTCCTGGCTGTGCTCAGTGGCTGTTTCCCGTAGATTTCCGGTTTGAATACGTCCTTCTCCTCGATTGTGTGACTTCCGCTGAGTGTTCGAAAGACAAAGATTCCACTCCAGATCAGCCTGGCAAAAGAGAACGGCTCGGAAAAGCTGGGCCCTGGTGGTTTGAAAGCGACTGGTAAGCATCCCTTAAATGAATATGACGAGTTACAATAACTACAATAATCTGCTGGTGATATATCCACTCACCCTTTGAGTATTTCGGCCAAGCAGCTGAAGAGGAGCCATCCACCAATTCACCAGGAAGGGAAGTACTGAAAGCGTGTTCAGCACCTCGTTTGATGGCAGAAAATCAAAATCGAGAACTGACTGAAATGATATGAACATGAAGTGAAATGTGAGATATATGTTAGATTCCCATGGGATCCTCCAATGTTACCACTTTGCTGCTTCAATGTGGTCATATGAAGCCAAGATGCCAGGAAGGCCATCTCAATCCTGCACCAAAAGCGGTGAAAACTTGGTATTTCTGCCGTGAAAGCCAAGTCCTTGACCCCGAAATGCCCATAGCTGCCGTAGATATGCGTAGATATGTTTCGATCGTTTTAGCTCAGTTAGCTCAAGATATTTCATGAATCATTCTGAGATGTCCAGTGATGATCTTTCCAAGGCAGAAGTTTTCCTGATATCCTACTGGAAATGTGTAGCCGCCTTGCAGGAGGGATCACTTGCAATGAAACATGTTGAATGGCAAAAGACTTCCAAAAGCTCTACTAGGCGTACATTCATGTCACACATCATCACATTTCATATGATTATCATTGATTATCACATTACGTTATGTATATCATCCACACACACACACAGCAGCTCGCAACTACTGCCTGTGTGATTGATAGTAGCGAAAGAAGAAATCCACCGAATTGATCATGTCCTTAGTCTTTCTGAGTGACTTGGATCTGCCATTGGAGGACCCTTCAGTGCCACGGTGAATCACAAGCACATGGCTATTTCAAAAAACTTTGGAGCCATAAGGATGAACAGCAAATGACAAGTTAATGGCGTGTCCTGAAAAAATCCGCCCACACCGCTTTGGCGGTGAAGGCGTGCTTATTGGGGGGCAAAACAGCAACACTAAATGCTCAATGACATTTGTTAATATAGCAGTCGCTATATCAGCTTTAGCTGGGGGGGGGGGGCCAAAAACGGTTTCGCACCGAGACCAGAATACGGTGGTGTTTTCGACATTTTTCGAGATTTTTGGGTGTCTGAGCGCAAGAGGGTATTGAAATGGAATTTTGGGTCATTTTGGTAGCTTTCCGGCAATGGAAAAACGGCCAAAAATGAAAAAAACATTGTACATAGCAAGATTTTGCAGGGTTTTTGGATGCCAGAGCATTGAAAACACTGCAAAAACAAGTGTTTGGGACTGACGTTATAGCAAAAAACGTGTAAATTACCGTATGCTTGACTGGAAGCATTACAAAAACACTGTCAAAAGCAATGTTTTGGAAGGATTTACTGCCTTTATGGCAAAAAACGTGTAAATTACCGTCTGTTTGACTGGAAACATTGGAAAAACACTGTCAAAAACAATGTTTTGGAAGGATTTCTTATATATATGTTGGAGTTGGCTACCGGCATTGGAACATGGAAAAATTGAAGAAAACACTGTAAATAGCGGTATTTTCAACGGTTGGGGAGATAAGGGAATTGGAAGCATTGTCGAACATGATGTTTTCGACCGGTTTTATGGCGACAAAAGTGTAAAGTACCGTGCTTTGAAGGAAACCATTGCAAAAACATGGAAACACATTCAAAGAACAGGGGATTTGGGGACTATCTAGGCGTCGTTGTCTAGCTATTTGAAATTCCGCAGCTTGGAGAGCCTCCAAGGGAGGGAAAAGTGAAAATTCCATAGCTTGGGAAGCTGTCACGGCGGGGAAAAGTGAAAATTCCCTAGCTTGGGAAGCCCCCACGGGGGGGAAAAAGGAAAATTCCCTAGCTTGGGGAGCCCCCACGGGGGGGAAAAAGGAAAATTCCCTAGCTTGGGGAGCCCCCACGGGGGGGGAAAGTGAAAATTCCCTAGCTTGGGGAGCCCCCACGGGGGGGAAAAGTGAAAATTCCCTAGCTTGGGGAGCCCCTACGGGGGGGAAAAGTGAAAATTCCCTAGCTTGGGGAGCCCCCACGGGGGGGGAAAGTGAAAATTCTTAGCTTGGGGAGCCCCCACGGGGGAAAACCACCCTTAGCCCCTGTCACGGACCGAAATAAACCTGCGGTGTGGGCGGCCACCCCGCGCGAAGCGGGGTGAATAGCTATATAACCAGTACGCCCTTGGGACAAACACGGTCCTTGGTAAAGTACTTGGAACCACTATCCGAATCGCACATCTTGAGAAACAGAATAAACCAGGGCAGTCATGCAATATTGAAATCACGATACCACATAGATCCAAATAGATCCACTCAGGATCCACATGGTAGACATAAACTTCACATTGAAAGTTCTAGCATGTTCTAGCAACCGTGCCGCGTGGACATCCAACCCTTTTCTGGATACCAAGTGGCGTACTCCAAATCTGCAATGGCTTTCAAGGAGAAGCCACTTGAAAGTAGCAAGCCAGTCATTGCCACCAAGAGGGTGAGCGAGTCAATCGTTGCAAAGACCGTGAAGAAAACCATACTTCCTGGTTTTCTTAACCATCAGCCACCAGTGATTCAGAATTCTGTTTAAAAATGTTTAAACATGTTTTTGTTGAATGAGATCAACCGACCCATGCAGGCTTTGCATTCAAAACTCTGGTTGCAAAAACTGCAGCTTCCACCCATCACAGCACAGGACAGGTCAGTGGTCCCTTGTCCCAGCCCATCCCCAAAAAATGCAACGGGGAGCTTTGTGCTTGAAGCAAAATTATCAAAATCACCAGCCAAATATCCAAATGGAATTGTAAAAGATGGATAAAGATGGGTGGTACCTCGAAACTGGTCCTTTTCACAGGGAAAATGATGATAAACCAACGGATTCTGGAGTGCCCATGAGTGCCCTAGTTTCCAACAAACCCAAAAGACAGGACCAAAGAGGGAAGGATTTTGGCCGGCGATGGGGTCCTGTAACCAAGTATCCAGCTTGCCGTGCCACGCGTGGCCCTGCTTTTTGCTAACGTTCCCACGCTGTGAGATGGCTTGAGCCGCAAAGGTGGAAATCAAAGGGTCATGACACAGGCATCTTTGCAGTGACCGACATGTCCATCAATCAATGCTAGGCAAATGAACAGAAACGCCATGAAGGAGTGGCCATGCGCACTGTAGTCCAAATTCGACGGCATTATGACCAGGATGTAGTTGTAAACCATGCTTATGCCAGGATTCATTCGACTGTAGACTAGCGGGATCTAGCAAACACTCGTGATCAACCCTTGGGAACACTGGGCCCTGCACAGTGGCAGACTGCACACGGCATTCTTTTGCCTGTCAATTTGAAGGACTTTAGGGATCTTTGGAGCAGGCCACCACCTCACCCTTGTATACCCTTGCAACATCTGGCAACCCACAGTTGCAACTCCCCCGTGCTCTTTGAGGAACCAACGCTCATCAAGTACTAGACATGTGAACACGAGATTGTTGAGCTGCTTGGTGAAGAAAAAAAATGCAGCTGCATCATCTCTGTTTCTTGAACGGTTTATTGGTTATAATTTATGCATTTCCTACTGGTTACATACCCTATGGCTTCTGTTGGTGCAACTCTTCGCCTCCCACCGTTTCATGATCCGATGACCCATCTGGCACCTTGCAGAAAGCCCAGACTTCCCCTCTTCTAAGTCCATGATGGTCTGACCTTGAGCGCACCCCTTGATGCCATGTGAGCATCAGCTGGGGCTGCAGGGGGGGGTACCATTCTCCCCTTTGAATTCCTTTGCGAAGAACGTCTCGTCTATTGGGACCTTCTAGCTGACTTTCACTAACTTTCCACATAGTCCGTTCAAATAGCCCTCTATTAAGTCTAATTTTATGTGTCCTTCTCATTGGCTTTGACGGGGCTTTCACCTTCCCAAGTCTTCCCAAGGGAAGCTAGGCGCTCCAAACACAGCTCGAGAGAGCTTTGGTGCATGGATGTGTCTGCCTCCTGGCAGGGGGGGCATCTCGAAACTAATTATCATACCATCATACCAGAATCACACTTGATTGTGACAGGCTCAATTGGACCTTCAGCAATCAAAAACCATTGCTGGTGACTGGTAGCATCGCAGGCAAAAGGGTCTAATCTGCAGGCCTCAAACTCCACCAGGCATGTGCAAACTCAGAGGCGGCAACAAAGGCAAGGTCATAAGGCATGGAAGGAGGAACGGGCTTGAGGTGGTTGAAATCACCTTTAGCTTCAGAAAGCATGATTTAAAGCACGTGCAGGTATTACAGTATAGTGAATGGGCACAGGGGTTGTAGATCTTCGGTGGACCAATTACAAAATATCACGGTTGACTGCTTTGTTGCCATCGAGGAAGGCACTGGAGGGGTGCCAAACTTTGACCTAGGGGGTAGATACCTGGCTTATCTCCAAAAAAAGTCAATTGTTGCTTCAATGGAAGACCTCCTACAGCCCATGAGAGCAAGTGTGAGCAAGTGCTGCTACAGAAAAGCGGTGTAAACATGTGTAAAAAAGGATTCTTGAAAAAAAGGAACTGCGGCATTGGCATGTTGTTTTACTGACGTATCCAGGCATGAAGTTTGTTGCTTTGCCATGCTGGGGCACAGGACGGGCTTCTGTCTTCTTCTTCTTGGTGGATGCAGCTGCCTCAACAGCCAAAGCAATTGGGACCGGCAGAGTAGGGCTGATCGACTGATGCTCCATCACACTTGTACAAGCTACAGCTATGGCTGGTACTGGTAGCAAAATGGTCACAGAACTGGGGTGACAAATCACAAAGAGCACAAAATCATACAAAATCTAAGGTCCATGATGGTCTATGTTCTGTTTTCAGTGGCTGTGAGTTGAGACATATCGAAATCAATGTGAGGATGTTGGTGGTATAAAACCTCAGGTCCCTAGCCATGGATCGGCAGCACACGTTTTTCTAGCCCAGGGACTCGGAACGTGCTGCAGCCTCAAAGTGCCACCCTCAATCCCTCCACCGATCCCCAGCGTCAATCAGCCTTTTCAGGGTTCTTGGTGACCACATGGTTCCACCTTGCATCAGCATAGGATGGATGGTGCGCAGTCTGACCGGGGAAAGCATCTGCAAGCTGGTGGTTGGATCCATCATGTCATGATGCAAGAAAGGGAATTGAACTGCCATGAACTGCCACTGGGCCAATGTGTTGCAAGTTTGAAGATGTTTGAAGCGTCCACAAGATAGGGTGGTCATGATTCACCTTGGAGATCTTGGAGACCGTGTGGCAAAAGACTCCAGAGTTTGCTACCCAAAACGCAGGAAGAACGAACGTTTTGCTTCAAATCTAACCCCTATTGTAGTCAGTAACAATGCACAAAACCGATATATTAGTGCATGAAGGACCGCAGCGATTCTCTGGACAAACCCAAGTGGATCTTCGAACCCATGGAGGAATATACAGTAATAATCGAAGAGCACTTGCAAGATTGGTTTCCATTCCGAATCAAGTTGCGGAGCTTGTTCTGACTGTGCTACCCTCCAAAGCCAGCCCTCGTTTTCATCTTTTTTCAACCCGTGTCCACGGTGCACACCCACTACACAAGTGACTCCTGAGAGCTTCAGTTGAGGCCTGTCCATGAATTTCATTCATTGCTCCATTGATTCCTGGGAGTGTTTGGGACTGAATATCACCAACGCCTCACGTCTCACAAATCTCATCCTCTTTGGGTGGCAGCATGAGTGAGATGAAGGTTTTGAAGGTCTCATCCCTGAAATCGTTGTCCAGCATATGTGCGACACAATGGGATCCTGGCCCCTCGAGGGCCGTCACTTGCACCCCTGCCTCTTCCAGCTTTTTCGCCAGTTCCCGACCCTCGTCTCGCAGGCAATCGCAGGTGGCCGTGACCACCAAGACCCGGTTGCCTTTCAAGCCCGAGAAGTCGGACATCAGCAGGTTGGCATCTCTTTGCAAATCTTCTCCTGAGCTGGAAATCACCTGGAAATCTCTGGAAATTGAGATTGGGCAGATTTCCACCCCGCTGGCCTAGGTGTGTGGGTGACAATTAGTGCGTGTTAAACATTGGTTGCTAACAAACTATTCATCATACGTCTAAAAATATTTAGTTCACCCATTTTAATGTCACGAGCATCCACAGGCCCAGCTAAGGCGGCTGCGGCCAGGCATCGAATTTGTCCATTGGAATCACTCAACAGCCAGTCCCAAGAGATTCGTAGAAAGCTGCTGGGACATGCAGGCAATGTGCCGAAGAGCTGGTGCGACTCCTTGAATGTACACCATCGAGTCATCATGAGTCAACTATTCTCGAATCAACATGAATCAACAGGTGGAACATGCATGCCAAACATTTGAGCTTAGCAGCTTCACATTTATTTTTTAACAATGTTGTACATACGTGTTTCTGTCATTGGTGGCCATGCCCATGCTGTCGGCATCCCAGGCTCGCTGGACATGTGGGGGTCCACCATGGGATACATCAAAGCCGTTGGAAGCCACCTCTCAAGTCGCAGGAGACCATGGCAAGCCACCAAGGATCCCGCCGAACAACTCGCGACACTGATGCTTTTGGTGCCTCAGTCCAAGGGTGCAGTATGGCCGAAGGATGCCAAAGGATGACAAAGCATGCCAAAGGGAAGAGATGGATCGGGATATTCAGGAGATTTCAGGAGGTTTGGGGAAGGCGGACAGTTTGAACATTTCTGGTGTCACAGATCCCATCGTCTTGCACCTGCTTGGTCAGCTGACTTTCCCCACCCAAACCCGGTGAAACTGAGGCACTGTATCCCATCGACGAGGCAAACCTCTCATCAATCAATGAACGGTATGCACTCACGAAGTCATCCACGGCTGCTGGAAACTTGAACTCCTGAGTGAGAATCTCAGCATTTCTTTTCTGTCATCAGGCCCCGGGACATGTGCTACTAGGCATCTGCATGTCTGCATGCCCAGTGCAAAACGCATAGCACTCGCAACACTGGACTCCACTGGACCAGTGGAAGGTGGTTTCAATTAGTTGCATTGCTGGCCATCAGGAAGAATAAAAACCCATGGTGATGTGTCCAGGCTCACACATCAAGACGAGCTGTGGTGAATCCACGGGGACGGCCCAGACCATGCCAGCCTTCCCCCCATCTTTGGCCCAGGTCACAGGTGCAAAGCGGTACTGGAGTGATGCCCAGCAGAATTTGCCATACCTTCCCTGGCAGGTTTTGCAACTGGCGTGCCATATGCTGGAGCATGGGCTCAGTCGCAAATCTAGGTCTAACGGTCTATCTATACTATCTATCAGATGGCCAAGATATGCCGAGATAGCTATTCAAGCAATTTGCACACTCAGTGCCGACTTCAGATTTTCGTTTCCCTCCCAGATCTCTTCCAAAGCCCGATAAAATCATCAGGTGCTGGCCACCAAATCTCTCCCTGCCTCGGTCAACTTCATGAAGCGAAGGCCCCATACATCTCGAAAACCTGACCGTGCCAAATGGCAGCCATCACGAGGGATGAAATGTCAGGTTCTGAACCCAGGTGTGACGCATTCAAACCTGATGAGGGAGAATTCCAAATTCACCATGTATAAATTACTAACTAATGATCATTATTAATTATATAATTACATTGCCTATCAGAGTCTATCATATTGAGTTGCAGATTCCGAATTCCGTGCATTGTTGCGCTTCATCCTCTTTACCTGACTGCAAGATTTGCGGAAAAAAGTTTATACAAAGCCTCCTCAAATGATAAATAATCATCAATGATCAGCCATGGTTGATTGTTCGGTTGCCCTCCAAACATTTCCATCTCAAATGTGGCGAGTAGGCCCTTCGGAAAACCACCATAGAGCGCAAAAAATATGGTCTAGGATTTCCTGCTAGAAATTGACGGACATGGTATTTTTTCCCGTTCCATCTTCAGGATATTTGAAGATCTTTGAAATTTTGCCCAGTTACTCAGTTCCCAAACATGTCTTACCCACATTTTCCCCAGTGTTTTCCTTGGATGGTGAAGCTGGCCAACCCTCATACTGACAGGTTCCCGACTGCCAAGCGTTGCGCCAGGGAGCTCCCCAATATCATGCCACCTCCGTGCACCCACAGCAGCAACGGCAGGTCTTTCCGATCACAGTCCGTGGGGCGGTGGAAGAGCACCTGGGATCCGGTGCATCGGTTTGGGGGACCATAGGGTGACAATGAGGGTTTACTCCAATCATCTTCCTGGTAGTCTATGATTTCAGGGGATGGAACTATGGAACCTGGATTTGTTGGACTTGACATTCATGTTGAGGGAGAAAAACTGAGAATGAACTTCAAGTTTAAAGCCAGTAGGAATAAATAGGAATAAGATTAAACCATGTTTGAACATCATTGAATCTAGTCATTCTCAGGAACAAGAGCGCTCTTCAGGACGTGTTGTTTGTTTTTTTTTGTTTAAAGTCATTGAAAAGTCAACACTCGAAACCACTCACCAGACACCTTCACAGGCTCTCCACCGCCACACAAGCGCTCGAAGGTCTGCTCGGTGACTTCCCAACTTCCCTCCAGCACCTTCCTGAGAGCGTGGGAGGACCATGTCCGAAGGGAAACCATGGGCTGCAATGGCTGGGATTGCGAGGATGGGAAAGCAAGACCGGCAGGGCTAAGTCGTGATGATATGATGATTTGATTCATGATTCTTGATGGTGGTTGGGTTAGCTTATTGATCTTATTGTCAAGCTGGAGAGTATACAATAATGCGCCCTTCGACAGAGACATGTAGAACAATAAATATGCTTGGTGATGCTGAGGTATGTGTGACAGAGTCGAAGAACGGCCTCACCTTTCTTTACATGTGAAAGCTGTGCCACTGCACCCTACAAAATGAAATGGTGGGAATCCATGATGATCTGATGGCAAAGTCTGGGCCATCCATGGCCATCTGGCTGAAGTCTCGTCCCGAAACTGAACCGGTCAAGTCATGGCAAGTCACTCATAGCTATCATTGGCCTTCTCAGCCGCTCTTCCTAATGGTCCAGGATAAAGCACAGGTGGGGATCCAGGGAGATCCTAATATATTATGATATGATATATTATCCTGATCATCCAAGAAATGAAGTTTCATGAATTTTCTCTATATAGTTGAGTTCAGATTGCCTTTCTGATATTCTCCACCGAGTTTGTATTCTATCAGTTTTGCTGGGTTGGGCCAGGCCGGGCAGAAGTGTATGCAAGCCAAAGGATGTAAGCCTTGCTGCTTAGACTGGAGATGGCTCACGGCTCAAGGATTGAAAAGGAACGCCTTCCACACGGCATCTACGGACAACCAAAATGATGTCCGGACCATCCCTTGAGAATGGGCCGCCCCAGAACCCTTCAAACTCCACAATTGAATATGTTGGGTATGTCTGGAAATGGTGTATACCGTTATTGTGTACTGCCAAAAAGGCTGTTTAGGGAAATGATGATAACCAGCAGCATCCTTCTACCCTTAAATTTCCTTCTCCGAGGGGCTGCTTCTCTCTAGGGACTCCAAATCGTTTGGCTTGAGCTTCTCCAGTCTGAGAGACACGCCAAGGAGGAAGTTCACCATCTCAGCGGGGCATCAACACATCAACATTGCTTTCTAGGTCTGATTGGGCGATTGCAAACCCCAAAGAGATACGAAAGTAAATTCGCACTGGAATGGTGATAAGTGATGTCTCTATCCTTTTGGGTTAGATAAAACTTAACCTTGTTGGGGAGGAAGTGAACCAAACAGAACTTTATCGGATTCAAAGCAAACATGGCAAACACGAACCATCGAAACTTGCCAAACCATAACGGACAAATGGCAAGAGACCATGGATCCTGGGAAGAGATTTATATAGATTTATCATTTGCATTTGGGATTAGATTTCGCACTTGTGGTTGGCCCGAACCCCAACCACAATCCTGGTCAGCTGGGATTCTCATCCCAAAAAAAGTTGCAAGTTCAATAATTACAAATATTGTATATAAAATATACTCTCAACCACCAGTGTCAATATGCCAAAGGCTTGCAGGGGGTCCTCTTCCACTGGTACCCTAGCAGCCCTAGCGGCCTAGCCTTGTCAAGTCTGTTAAGTTTCGCATGTGGGTGGCAGCAGCTCCGCCAAAAGATATTGCCCATGGCGAGCGGAAAACGGCGGCACACGGCACGGCACGGGGCTTTTTTTGGCCGAAAATACTGATGGCGCGATCCCTTCGAACGATCCCATGATACCAGTACTCTCGGGTTTCATGTCCGTTCTATAGGGCATTTTACAAACTCTACAGCCTTAAGCAGTCCTGAAGAACAGCTGGAAGTTCTCATCATACAATGGGTCACGTGTGGTGAGTGTGGTGATCTTGGTCACCGTTCATGGTGCATTTACAGCCCCAAGGCCCAAGGCTGCAGCCATTGAAGCAGGCGGAAGACCAGCAGAGAACCGTCTGAGAGACAGCCCTGATAGGCCAATGATCTGACCTGATGTCTCAGGTCACAGGAAGCTGGGATAGACTGTATCCGAAGACTGGAATAATCTGCCCCAGGCTGCAAAATATCTATAAAAACATCTATATAAATCTATATATCTTTAAATATCTATCATAAATATCTATATAAATCCCATATGTCTAATGAAGCGAAGTGTCCTGTGCCACTTTCACAAGAGGAAACCCGCAAAAAAGTTGGCCAACAAAGACATTTACCTGAACCCAAACAACATTTCCCAATATCCAATACGAAACTCCTCTTTGTTGCGCCACTTTGTGTGGCTGCACGCTGCACAAAATGCAAAGGGAGGCCCGTCCCTGAGATCTCCGGGCCATGGATCCTGGCCCTTCCTCTCCACCAGAAAACACCTGGACCGCGAGAGGCCCCTCAATCTCTGGCACATTTTGATGATCATCATGGTTATGTTCAATGGATTGGTTTGTTGGGGAAAATCTTAACCGGAAACCATGGTTTTTACCATCAAATATAGGGCTTTCCTGTAAATTTTCCCATCATCCAATTCTACGTTATGTTCATGTTGATCTGTTGGTCATCAACATCATCATGATGTTCGTTATCATGATCATGAACATTTACATCATTTGCCATGATGATCATGTCAATATTGTTGTTGTTCATAATTGTTAGTATCATTGTTATTATTACTATAGTGTTATATTGCAGTGATCGTCACTGTCATCATTATGACATATTTTGACACATCATGACTGCCCAACAGCCGAAAAAGCCTCCGCTGCCGAAAAGTCCTGGCAGCGGGGAAACACATCGTGCCACTCACAATCGGCATGGAAAATCAAAACAACATATGACAGTGAAAACATTAATACTTGGGAAACATTATTGAGATATCTAATCAATAATGACTAATGACTAACAAACAATGAGATTATTCAATGATAGTCAATAATACTCAATCATATCAGTTCATATTATGTCGCCATTGGCACCTCACCAGTGATGAGTTTCTCGGCTGCTTCCGGCCAGGTGCGTTTGGTGAGTTGCGCTGTGGTGGACCTGAAAGGTCGCCCCCAGGGGCCCAGGGTGGGCCAACCTATCCAATGGCAAATGGTGTGTATATAAATGTATAATTGTCCATAATTGTGCATACATATTATAATCATTTATAATCCATGTTCCTGTATACATTGGATATCATCAGATTATATTGCTATCCAGACTCTCCAATAGCTTCACCAACATCAAGGGATAGTTGGAAGATGTTGGAAGTCCTCTCCTTTTGCAGTTTGAATCCCTGTGGTGTTGAGGGTCACCACCGGTCAAACGGAGATATGAAACGGCGATCTGAATCAGCGTGAAGCAAGAACCATGGTGACCCTCTTAGGAGTGCAGAAATATGCAGAAACTACTGCCGCTTCGAACCATTTTTTTGCCGCGACATCGCTGCGCACACAGTTGATGCCCGTATGCTCAGCGCATCGTCTAAAAGGCATCGAACCTGGAGCAGGCAAAGGGAACTCGACATAATGTTAGAGGAAATTGTCTATCTTCCCCTCCCGAATTTTCCTTGCCAGAACTTGTCAGAACATGTCCAGAAGCCTTCAATTTCGGTTGCCATCATGATCATTATCATGATCATTATCATCCTCATCCAACCCTTCTGGGTTTTTGCCCGCTAACAAACAACCCACCAGACCATCGTCTTGATGCTCTTCTCCTGGCCATTGACCCTGCCTGTGGTCCATCTAGCTCACGCCCAGCGCTTGGAGCGAACCAACATTTGCGGCGCTGAGGAAGGAGGAGGTCGTCCTGCGCGACAAAGGTCGGCTACGGCTCAATAAAGGGGTACCAATGGGCGCACAAACTTGGTGATCTTCGGCCATCAGCCATGCCAAACCAACCTTTTGGTGAAAATAGGCCAGACTTCCACAAAGTCTTGCAAACAACCATCCGATGAAAGGAAACAAATTGAAAAAACACTTATACTCAGGCAGGTATGGCTCAAACAAGAAACAAAATGACCCACATCCTACAGGACCCTCGTCTGTTGCCAGGGGGGGGGGTGAGGCACCTAAAAAAATAAAATAAAATGCAGGGGCCTAAGGAGAAAATGCCAATAAAATGAGAGGGCATAAGGTAAGATAGGAAAACCCAAGCAAAATACAATGGACAGGTACAAAAAGAAAATGACGTCGGCACCCTCCACCTGGCCACTGGTGGACCTACGTTATGCAACTGTTGGACCTCGGGCTCCGGCATTTTCTTTTGGGTTGATCTTGTTTTGTCTTGTTTCCTTCTTTGATTGGTTTTAACCATGTTTAGTCTTGTTTAGTCTTGTTTAGTCCTTTACATTGTTTCCTTATTTGATTGGTTTTAACCATGTTTAGTCTTGTTTAGTCTTGTTTAGTCCTTTACATTGTTTCCTTCTTTGATTGGTTTTAACCATGTTTAGTCTTGTTTAGTCCTTTACATCGTTTCCTTATTTGATTGGTTTTAACCATGTTTAGTCTTGTTTAGTCTTTAAGAAATCTCATTGGCTGCTGTAAGCTGCCCGTGTGTCTTTTGTTGACCAAGGAAGGCAATAGAAAATGAGGGGGGCCAACCCATTTTCGAAGTTAATGTCCAAATAATGGAAAAGGAAACGAAAAAGGAAAGGAAAAAGGAAAGGAAAAAGGAGAGGAAAAAGGAAAGGAGAAGGAAAAGGAAGAGACAGGAAAAAGGAAAGGGAAGGGAGAGGAAAGGGAAAAAAAAACAGTGTCTCACACGAACCATTTTTGATGCCAAAAGTTATCGTTTTCGTTATCATTTTATTAGCGTTCGTGAATCCGCTGGAACGTTTCACAAAATGATCAGGCCGTTCACAGTTGTGCATCTTTGCTATGATGCTATCTCTGTCGGTTAACTTGATGGGTTAGGCACCTCAAAAAATAAAATGCACCCACAAAATAAAATGCAGGGGTCTGACCCATTTTATTTTCATTTTATTTTCATTTTATTTTTATTTTTTTTATTTTAAAAGGGGCTTCAGCCCCCCCATTCTATTTAGGTACCCCGGACGGGGGTCTACAGGTCAATTAAATCAGTCAATAGACTTGTCTAAAGGAATACTTGAGGGAAACCGGTTGGTCTGACCATGTCAGATTGGTTTTCTGGCCTGCAACTTGAGGCGGAAATGTCGCATCTGCAGCAGCTCAGCTGTGTCGTTGGGTGGAAGCAGCTGACCTGGTGGGGGAAGCGATGGACCTATAGGTTCTATACTCTAGCTTCTTCTGGAAAAATGTCACCAGAGTGCGTCTTGTTGAACATTTGCATGAGACGACCGCGGTATATCATGGGTATATCATGGGGTACAACTTGGATAGCTGCATAGGATAGATGTAACTGAATGTAACTGGATCAACGGGCAGGTCTGTTCACAGGTTATTCCATTAATCAACCATAAAAGAGGCTCATAATCATCATATCCCATCATGGTTGCTATACCACTGGGGTACACCTCTAGTGGCGATACCAATAACTAATGTTCCTATTGTCTCCATGTTGTTCGATGATGTTCCCATTCAAAACTTAAGTGAGTTCGGAAATGTCCCATCTTTGATTCCCTCCAACTCAATTTCGATGCTTTTCCCATTCTCCCATCATATTCCATTACGAAAGACAGTGTAAATCTATAAATCTGAATCTAAATATAAATATATATATATATGAGCGATTGTGAAAACCCTAGGTTCACGGAAAGGACATTCACAAATTTGGGAAGGTCCCATCGCTTACCACACGTTTGTACAATAATGATATATGGTAAACTTGGGGGGTATCGCTTGCAGGAAACTGCTCTATTTATATATATATATATATGATGAACTATGAATAATATGTGATATTTGGGTATCGCTAATGTGGATATTAGAGAAATATGATGACATAACCTTGAAAAGGGGTATCGCTAATTTGGGAAGGTCCCATCGCTTACTTCGTGTTTTTAACAATTTCCATCAATTTCCATAAGCCAATGTCCGTCGAATACATATTTAGTATTGCCGGGGTTTTTACGGTTGCTCATATATATATAATCTACAAATGGAATGTCGTTCCATGATGTTCCATGGCTACTTATGGGATTCCCAAGCTGCTGGGGCTCTGGGGCATTGTTGGGCCTCGATGCGTGGCCTCCATGGCCAGCTTCAGCTGCTGCCACGCCAGCCGTCGCGGCAGCGACCGTGACGAACTTTGCAGCCGCGGCAGCAGCAGCAGGGCAGAAGGCCAGTGCCAGGCACGGGCGCCTCAGGGCGCTGCTTGGAGCTGGGGAAGGTTGATGAATTGGGACTCGAAAAGTATAAAATGTATATAAAATGTATAAAGTGGAAAAACCATGAAAATCCATCGCTTCCCTGGGACAATGATCTAAAAATGTGGTGGGTTTGCCACAATAATTTATGTTAGTTTACAGGAGGGTGACGGCTATGTACCTCCAGTAAGCAGTAATATGGCAATTGAGCAGTTTCAAAAAACCATGTTGACTTTCCTGTTACCTCTCAAGTCTCTTTCGCGGCTGCTTTTGCGCCTCTTTTGCGGCCTGCGTTTTGGCTTTCGCGAGGGCACCTGCTTTCTTTTCAGCTTTCGCGGAGCTTTCGCAGCGACTGGTTTCGCTGGGGTTTTCGCTTTCGCCGAGCTTTCGCGGTTGATTACCAAAGGGTCATAGTTAGTCATAGTTGGATGTATACTGGAGAATAAACCATGAATAAACCAGCTAAGAATCAACGGCCTGCCTGGATTCTATGTCCAAGGTATAGTAATCGACAATGCAATTCCCAGCAAATAATCCTTTGAGTAGTGCACACCTTGTTCTTGGTGAATGTTGGTAAGTCTCCAACATTAACTGAGTTGCAAGGCTTATTACCATGGACATGGTGATATCATGATATCCATAAATTTAAATACCCTCTGGTAAACTAACATAACTATGGAAAATCACCATTTTCAATGGGAAAATCCACTACAAATGGCCATTTTCAATAGCTGTGTTAAATTATCAGAGGATACTCCCCAAGATCCCCAACTGCAGGTGTGGCAAGTCTCATGCCACTGCTGCCGAGGACATCCCCAAAGCATCCCCAGTTGACTGCAGCAAATGCAGAGCCATGTGCCATTGCAGGGCCTGTTGACAAGACTGGATCGCTGCACCTGAGCCACTGAAGAATCACAGCTGATGGCTTTTTCATGGTTTTCCCCCATATGTTGTTTTTTTCCGTAATTAGTTTTCATTAACTCTATTTATGATGATGTCTATTAAAATACAGCTACAGTATATATTTTTTTGGTATTTTCAATATTTTTCAAGACATGTCCATGTGGTTGTGAGTCAAAACCATAGGTAACCCCTGTAGTTCACATCAAAATAGCTGGGATTTATGGATGTTCATCCCCCTAAAAATGGTATTAATAGGTATTGATCCATCCCCATGTATTTTCAATAAACCAACCATGATGCCATGACAATGGGCGGCAGTTGGTGCTGCTGGGCGGCAACATGCAATCGTTCCTTGGGCCTGCACGTTTGACAACGCGTTTGACAACTGGGTCGTTCCCTAATGCGCGGCCAAAAGCATAAAAAAACGGACATGAAAAAAAGGATGTTATATAATGGTATGTCAATGGCGATCTGTATCATAATAATATTATCATGAATAAATTTAACAATCAATGTTTAGGGATGTTATAGGGATGTTCAACTGTTCATTATTTGAAGGTCTTTGCTTTGGACATGCTTTGTTCAACTAACCCGCCATGTTTGGGTTGGGCCTTGGCATTTGGCCAGTGCACGAGCGAGGCGTGCAGCAGATTCAAGGCTGACTGCCAGAAAGCCTCTTTCCTCAGAGGAAGTGGCATGAGGATTTAGGTGTGGAAATGTTCCAGACATGATGGTTTAGATCCAGTGCCATCATATTTGGTCCTCATGTCTATAATTTGTTTGGGTGCTTTGGATTGTCTAAGAAGTGCAAGTCTAAGTCAAGCTGAACCGTGACTGTCAGTGCTGTTGCTGTTCGACCTACAAAGCAACAGCAACAACAACACCTATGTCAAGAACACCAGTAATGACATGTAATTGACACTGTTAACACAAGTGACACGGATGACAGGAACGACAGGAATGACAGGAATGACCAGCAGCAGCAACAGCTACAACCAGCCACAATCAGCAACAACCAGCAACCAGAAACCAACAACCAGCAACCAACAACCAACAACCAACAACCACAACAACCACAACAGCCACAGCCACAACCAAAAGGGTCCGGAATTGTTTTGCGTTTCTTTTTTGACTTCCAGTGTTTTGTTCATGTTCCTTGTTATTTGCAGCGGTTTGGAGCTGGAAGCTACCATTTCAACTGTATTTGCAGCATTTTGGTACTCGAAGTGTTCATGTAACATGCTAGTTTGCAACTAGCGTTCATTTAGGGTTGTTTTTTTGGGTTAGTTCAGGGTTTTTGTTCGGTTTGGTTTTAGGTTTAAGGGTTGGTTTTAGAGTTGGGGTTTATTTAGGTTTTTAAGGGTTGGTTTTTGATCTTTTGAGGGTTGGTGTTGGGGTTTATTTAGGCTTGGCCTAAGATCTATTCAGGGTTGGTTTAGGATCTACTTAGGGTTGGTGTTGGGTTTTATTTAGGCTTGGCCTAAGATCTATTCAGGGTTAGTTTAGGATCAATTTAGGGTTGGTTTTAGAGTAAATGTAGGCGTGGGTGAAACATCAAAGTTTATTTAGGCTTGGTTTAGGATCTATCTAGAGTTGGTGTAGGACCTATTCAGGGTTGGTTTAAGGTTTGTTAAGCGTTGGTTTAGGATTTGTTTGGGCATGGTTCCAGATCTATTCAGGGTTTGTGTAAGGTTTATTTAGGCTTGGCTTAACAAGGTTGGTTTAGGGCCAGGGTTTATTTATGTATGATCTTTCCTAGGGTGTATCTACAATATGAGAAACCAAAAAAAAATAACATGGAAAAGCATAGAAGGCGAAAAAACAGGTTAGCAGAAAAGCAGGTAAGCAGAGAAGCAGGGTAAAGCAGAAAGCAGAGAAGCTGAAAAAGCAGAAAAGCATGGACAAACAAACAGAAAAGCGGAGAGGCAGAGAGGCAAAGAAGCAGGTAAAGCAGAAAAGCAAAGAAGCAGAGAAGCAAAGAAGCTCGCAAGCAGGGAAAAGCAGAAAGGCGGAGAAGCAAAGCAAGGAAAAGCAGAGAAGCTGGGAACCAAATATCAAAAAATATCCCAAAGCGAAAAAAAAATATTGAAATATAATAAACTAGCCCTCTCAACCAAAATCACAAACCACAAACCACAAACAACAACCACAACCAAACCCTTCAGCATACAGCATACAGCATACGGAATCTGGTGATCCTGCAATAGCCTTCTGGCTAGCGCCTGGCCTGCTGAATTGCAAAGTTTCCAGCTTCCCATCCCCGTCTTCCGATCCACTGGAATCACCGTGCAAAGGCCCAAGGGTCTCACAGGCCGAAATCACCGAGTTGAAAATCACTGCCTCAGTATCCTGCTCAACATCCAAGAACAAGAGATGGATGCTGAAAAGGCAGCTGAAAGGCTGGATCCTGCTAAACTTGCAAAACTCTCATGGCATTGAGAATTAAAAATCATGTGATAAAATAGGCTCAATCACGCTGGATTGATATGTTGATATTGTCCACATCGACGGCCAGTGTTCATGCCATTCACTTCTGACTTGGAATGCAGGTGGTCCGTTCAAACATCAAGTAAATGAAGTGCGGCAAATGCGGGCTCTATTGTACCATCGTCAGCACATTAGTTGCATCTACATTTCTCACACAGGAAGTCCAGAAAGTAGATAGCAATGTGTCAATCTAAGAATCAACCAACTCATGAGTCAACTGGACCGTAAAGGTGGGATGAGAGCTATCAATGAATCCCATGTCTTCTCGTCAGGAATCAGGACTCCCCACCTTCAATAAGAAGTTCCCAAGTTCACCAAGAACTTCACTGAACTGAAATTCCATGGCTGACATGCCCCGTCATACCCCACCATAGCCCGTGATACATGGTGCTTTCAGCCAAATATCCAACTCCCCCCAAACTCTAACCTCATCTCTGCCAAGCAACATTTGCACGAAGTTCCTAAGCATTCCCAGCAGAACCCCAGCAGAACCCCAGTCACAAGCCCCCCTGGCATCTCCCACCTTTCCCCAGCGTGCTAGAAGAGAATCACCATCCCCAAACGCTGTCAATCGAAACACATCACAAATGAAGAAGGTAAACACTTAGACTAGACTTGTCAAAAGTGCACGCAATAACTGACTTCAGGGTTTGCGCATGTTTGCGCTATAAATACTGGTCAAACATGGTCAAACATCATTATGTAAGCTATGAAAGAGCTCTTCTGACGGGTTCCAAAGCAATTCACAAAATGCACAGCCAAAGACAGCTGGCCCAAGTATTGGTCCAACAGGGTCATCTTGAAACGGCCAGTCCTACTCCACCCAACCTGTTTGGTTTGGTGATCCCGGGCCATCCCAGGCCCACGTTCAACTGCTGGGTACAATTGTGACGTGTAGAAGGCCCTACTGAAACCATTTGACTCTTCACCCTCACCCAGCATTGACCACTTTCATCCAGTTTCAGCAAAGGGTCGGCTTTCCGCATCCTACGTTGCTTTTGGGATGGGCTTCCCTGTGCATAGATTCATCGACCCCACAAGCTTGGTGCAATCCTAAGAATATTTTTCAGCGTGGTGAAGCACGGGGTTCTGATACTTGGGGACTTGGGGATCTACCAAATAGATCCAAATTCGTATATAGAAGTTTGAGTCTGAGGCTGGCAATTCCCTGAAGTCAATCCGAGCCTTAGGATCCAAACTGATCCATAAAACAGCAGAAGTTCATCTGCGTGAAAGCATTCCTAAACCTCCAATGTTTTCCCATCCATGATCCATGTCCAACCGTCGGTCCTCTCCAACAGCCGCAGGGCTTGCAAGCCCTTGGCTGCCTTTTCATAGCTCGCTGCCAGCGCGCCATAGCTGCTCACTGTGGTTTCCAGCTGCCGGCGAGTCATCGCCTGTCACAGCTTTGTGAATCAAGTCCGGTCACTCTCCTGTCTGTGCTAATCCTTTATATTATGTATATATGTGTGTGTGGACCATGTGTGGATTTATAATATGTTTATAATAATAATTGTATATATATATATGCAATTATATAATATAATATAATATAATATAATAAAATATAATATAATATAATATAATATATATATGCTAGCCCCCCCAAACCTACTTTTTTATGACTTTCATGTTGGTTTTCATGTTGGTGCTTGTGTGTCAGAGGCAGGGACATGCAGATAGGCAGAGGAATTGCAGACAAGAGGAAATACTGTATTTTGATTGTGTGTCAGAGGCAGAGACATGCAAACAATTTCGTTCATATTTATCGACTTGTGGTAAGTGAAGGAATTGCAGACAAGAATGTTTCAGACTGTTTGTGGTGGTGAAATTTTGTATTTTCATGACATTTGCATGATAATGCGAGTTGCAGCAAACAATGAAGCATTGACAGAAGGAATTTTTTTCTGCGATGGATGGAGCACTGAGATTAAGCCAAGCTTTTGGCGACATGCCATGTACACACAATGCCGGTTTGAAGCCATAGATCCGCATTCCTGTGCCAATACTCGTATTGGGCACTGCGAATTTTGGCACGCAGCAGAGGCATTCCAACTCGGCAATGTTGGTTTAAATGAATCCTGTCTTTGAGGAAGCGCCAGGCACGGTCTATAATTTGCGTGCCACCTTTAGTCTTAAATTTGCGACCAGTCTTGGGATCCTTGTGTGTGGTCACGCGGACATAGGTGGGCAATTTCCACATCCACTTGCCCTTGACTTTGACACGCTTTTTGCAGTGTCGGACATGGTCGTGCAAAACCCCGCTCATTTTGAGTTTGTACGACTTGGCTGCATCTGTAGTGAAGAACGACGATGCGGTCCCGCAAGTGCTTGGTCGCAAGCGGCTGCCACTCAATCTTGCGGATTGCGCCTGGTCCAGGCGCTCTCCGGGCAGATGTTTGAGGAGTCAGCCGCTTCAGGACCAACGTATGTGGAGCACCTCGTTGCACGATGCCGCACCATTGCTCCCAAATGATCGGCTTCGCGGGGTCCTCGGCCATTTCTTGCAAGTCTGTGTTGCTGAATGTGGCCTCATCTGCTTCCACATCAGCCCAGGTCTTGGCGTTGCCGAAGAAGATGGATTTCTCCTTCTCCTCGACCCAACGTTTGCGAAGATGGCTCAGCCTGTTCTCCATGTCCTCAATGGCCTTTTGGTTGATGTGAAGAATGCGATGGATGGCAGGGTGCGGATGCGATTGAGCAACAGGAACAGCAAAGCAGATTGTGTTTGCAGAGGAGTGGCACTAGCACCAGTTGCACCCTTGAAGATTGGATGTAGGTGATGAGGGTTGATGTATGCCTGGCAGCCCTTGCGGTTGCACCGATGTCGCGGCATTGAGGCGCCAAGCAGCAGTTGAGCCTTTGACAAACGGCCTTTGCCACAACGGGGGCATGTTTTGCCTGTCCAATCCTGTAGAAGCTGATCTTCACGAAGTAGACGAACCAATTGAACATCAGTAGCTTGCAGCAAGTCTGCGAGCTTGCGTTTCCAGGATGTTCTGTCCATTCGTTGTTGTTGAACAGCCTCCTTCGAACGCACATAGGGCACTTTCTTCCACTGAGTCGTTTTTGCCCTGGCAGGCCTCTTCAACACACTTCTTCCTTTACCTCTTTTGGGATCAGGAAAGAAGTTGAAGGTGCCCTTGTCCTTGGTATGGCCTTTCTTGACCGGTTTTCCCCCAGCTTTCTTAGCACAAGGGCGAGGGCAGCGCTTCGCAGGCATGGCTTCGATGCTACCAATCGATCGAAAGTGTGAACCCAAAAGCTAGATGGAATGCTGAACTGACACGTGTTGATACACTCTACGTACAACACATGTGGTAGAGCATGTATCAGTTTCAAGAGGCAGAGCACCATGCAAACCAGCAGTGACCATTAAGTATTTTTGACATGACAAGAAGAGTCTGCGACTAACCATGGAGTCTCTTTTCTAGCGAGCGGGTGCAGAATGCGAAGATGCTGAATGGCACAGACACAGTGCCCGCCTAGGCTGCAGTCATGGAAGCCAGCAAGCTCCTCACCAAGGATATCCAACTCAGCATCCATCACCTTCTCCAGTTCCTCCTCCAAGGTTGGATCTGGGCACTCTTCTGCGTCATGTGGAAGACCGAGCTCAGCTGCGTCAGGATTCGGAACAGATGCTCCCAGTGAAGCCTTGCTCTTCTTGCGGACTGGCGAAGGACTGCTGAGATCGATCACACCTGTTCCAGGACGAAGGGACTGAAAGACCGCGCGCTCCCGCTTCACTTCCACACGGTCCTTCTTGTCTTTGTCGACATCCCAATTGGTCCATCCAAAGCTGGCCCGGTCTGTGTCCACGTCGATGGGATCCCGGCGTGTTTCATGAGCCAATAACGCATTCCCATCTGTGTACCTTAGCAGACCATGTGAAGCAGAAGGTTTGCAGTAGACAGTTTGAAGCAGACGGTTTGAAATAACAGTTGGTACATGAGATTGAAATATGCAATGTGGTAAGAGGCAGGTACTGCAAGAATATGTTTTAAGCCAAGCTACTCCTGTGATTCCATTTTGACATACGGGATGCTGTGCTTTCGCTCTTCCAATCCATCTTCTGCACTGGCCTTAGCATGGGCTTTCTCTAGACATGTAGAAGGTCTTGAACTGGAGCCCCACAGAGCTTCTCGCATCTTCTCACGGTTCTTGCTGTCTGGGCGCCGGGACTCGAAGCATTTCGCCATGATGGCAGAGATCCACGCCTGCTCCTTTTTGACTTCAGTGTCAAAATTTGGAGGGATGGTCTTGTTGTTGGATTTGAACATGCCATAGAACTCCTTGCCATCAGCAGTGAGGAAATCGGGGTGGTCGACCGCAATGCGCTCCACAGGATCTTCATTCACACCATCAGGTCTGAAGTAGACAAACTTCTTGGTCACCACAATAAAGACAGATCGTTTGAGAAGAGCATCGGTGTCTGCGTGAGAGGCATTGGTAGACACTGCCGGACGGATCATCTCCCAGAAGCTTTTGAAAGGAAGAGTTCCAACGAACGCACTGCCTTCATCCACAGAAGCATCGCAGGCATTGGCGGCGATGGCACGATGGTTTTGCACCCACTTGGATGCACCCCAGCGAGCCCAGGCCATGGACTTGTACAAGCCAACGTCCAAGAAAGACTTGAGGATTTTGAGACCCACATGCTGCATCTCAGGATCATCCAAGAAGTCGCCCATGATGACTGATCCAGCCTCGCCACGGAGAAAGTCTACCTCAGGGGTGCATCGGATGCATGGAGCTTCTTCACGACTGAAGCGCGTCCGGTTATACCGGCATTGTGCCATGAGGATGCTCCGACCCAAAGGACTTTTACCAGTGTTAGGTTCTCCCAGCATCACTAAAGCAGCCACATCGAAGTTCCAAATCTTCTCCAGCTTCTCCAAGATCCACTTCTGGAAGAACTTCTCTGTCAAGGGAAGGGGCCAATCGAATTCCTTGCGCGCAAGGGCGCCTTCTGTGGACAAGCAGCGCAAAGCTTTTTCGACAAGACTGACAGGCCATCCATTGATAGGAGATGTTTTCTTGCGAATTTCTTTTGTTTGCCAAGAGAGTTGCTGTAAATCACTGCCGCTTCGGGGCGCATTTTTCCTCAAGAATTCAAAGCCGCATTCGAGGGCATCATCATCCAGCTCCTCAAAAGCCTTCAGCTTTGCTTGACTGGCCGCGGTCTCGGTGGACAGATCAAAGCAACGAAACTGCCTCCCACCCATATTTTGCAAGCAATATTGCAAAATCTTCTTGCCCACAGTTGGCTTCTGACTCATGAAACTAGGTTTGTACAAAGTTCCAAAGGCAAGGTTCTTGACAAAGGATGCTTTGGCCTTGTTTGGGAACATGTAATGCTTGAAGACGGTTGCTGTTCCATCATCTTCTTCTACAATGACCAGGTGCATCTTGACCTGACTTGCTACAGCTATCTTAGGACCAAATGGATGAGGCAACAGTTGCAGATCCTGATGGGTGATAGCTCGTTTGTAGTGCAACCCCAAGTCCTCGAACGAAGTTTGCATTGTGTAGCCTGCCACGACTTCCAGGAAGTGCACCATAGGATTCTCTCCATCCTGAATCTCGATCATGGGGAAGTTCACATGGTTCCAACTGCCACGGGGGAGAGCTGCTGAGACATAAGGGGCCGGAAGGGCTCGACACATGTACCCATCGCAGACAGCCTCCAATTGCTCGAAGCTCATGTCCTCAGGAGCAACAGCCATTGTGCAGCAGAAGCGGAAACAGGAAATTGTATGAGCAGAAGTGGCTGTAGCAGGATGCAGGTTGACACAGACAGTTGCGTTGGTTTAGAAGATTGGTAGCCATGAAATGAAGCAGATGCAAGTTTTTTGTACAGAGTTCAATTGGCAGACAAAGTCATTGCTAGGATTGTGACAAGACAGCACAAACACATGTTACTTGAAGTGAGGAGGGTCTAGGCTATTCACAGCAAGGGTTTTCATATGATTATTTCTGAAGCAATTACGGGTGTGATATATAGTGACTTCAGTGCGCATTCTTGGTTGTGCATGTAGACAAGGCAACTGTGCATGCAGACAAGGCACAAGCAGCTCAGCATTATTTTTCTTTCGCTGCAGTGCTCTGATCTGGTCTTAATAAACACGTAATGCGTATGCCAGCATCATAGCTCACCGCCCACACCAGAAAGCAGCTAAAGGAATACCTATCTGCAGCAAAACAATTACTTTTTGTGCCCACATTCTTTTCCAAAACCACTTCAATGACTTACTGGCTTTCTGGTGTGCACGGCGCCGGTCCGAGCAGCTCGGGCGGTGTCATCGGCACCCTTGTGCCGACGTGTGGCGAAATCTCCGTTGGAGGAGTGGGAGGAGGCGGGCCAGGCGGAGTTCGTGGGCCCTTCTTGGACTCCGGGATCGGTCGCGTGGCCGTTCCTCATAAGGACGTGACTCCCACCAGCTTGGGTCGGTGAGAGGTGGCAAAGTCCACGCAGACCTTGGATGGGAACAATGTTGAAGCAATGGGCAGATTTGAAAGGCAGGATTGCAGTGACAGCCGTTGAAAGGGATGAAGCAGACCAGAATTACAAATGCCATTGGAAAGTATTAACAGGATGGTTCGCGTCCAAGGCACTCCCAAAAATCATCCTCATACTGGATCTCCGGACTGTCCGGACGAGGAGCCGCAGCCATGAGGCAATGGCAACGGGAACCAGCAGGAGATAAATAAAAGGGGCCTCTTCGCGGAAATACTGCGGATTCCATCCGTAAACCGAAAAAACTGAAAAAACTGAAAAAACTATATTTTTCTAGAACTATGGCTGGGACCCAGATCTAGATATAGTTACCCAAAAATATAGTTTTTTCAGTTTTTTTAGTTTTTTCAGTTTTTTTCAGTTGAGACCTGGAGCTAGACATAGTTCCCAAAAATTATAGTTTTTTCAGCTTTTTCAGTTTTTTATTTTTTTCTGTTTTTTTAGTTTAGACTTGGGGCTAGACATAGTTCCTAAAATTTATAGTTTTGTTTCAGTGTTTTCAGCTCTAGTTTTTAGTTTTTTCAGCTTTATTCACTCCAGCTAATAATCTACATAAAATACTGTAAATACCAATACAAATGTAAAAAAGGTAGGTTTTTGGGGGGGTACCATATATATATATATATATATAATTATATATATAATATATATGATTGTAATATATTGTAATTATATATGGTGTTTCATGTGTTTCATCTTTCTTGTGGCTTTAAGTTCGAACACAACTTACATGAGTGTGTGTGTGTTCCACCGCCCATGACCCCCCTCATCAGCATCGACCTCCATCAAAGCCAAAGCTGTGGCCTCAGCTAGCTCACAATCTCGCCAACAAGCCAAGTATTCATGGAATGTTCAGCCACAACATCTTGCAATCCGGGGCCAAGTGGCCCACTTGGAGCCCTTCTCCTGAGATGTGCCAGTGGGTCAGTGGGTCATGTAGACCAGTTACAGAAGGTCTTGGCCGCCAATACTGAAATACTGGGCTGGCCATGTTGGGAGGTTTCTGAAGCCCTAGCTTCTCGAAGAGTACCTATGAATAAATCAAACAACCTGAGGAAAGAAAGATGGCATAGGTACCAAATCAATTTCAAGTTAGGTCAGTGTGATTGGACGTTCCTGGCGTTTCCTCCGGTTTTCATTGCACTGAACATGTTCCGCAGGACATGAAACGCTGGTGCTCCAGTTGATCCGGAGCCGAGAGTCACAAGCAGAGATGGCCACGTTGAACGAGATCATGTTTGGCTGCTCCTGCAGAAATGGGTCTGAAGGCTGGGAATTGAGCAAGTGATTGGGGGCTGACACAGAGATTAGAGCAAGTGCTCCTGGGGATTCTCTAAAATGCCTCAAATCAATGCCGTACCCCGACAATGTACAATTCTTGTCAGGTGGCGCCAAGTATATACACCACGTCAAAATCTGCTCATGCATATCCATTCATTCCAACCACAAACACTCAAACTGGAACGTCCTGGAAGATACTCGATGAACACCACCAAAGCATGTGATATTTGCTGGATTTTACTTGCACGTGTACGGACCTGCATTCCAAAATGCAACCGCTGACTTTTATCTCGGCCCACCTTCATTTTGTGCGGCAGCTCTTCAAAAATGAGCCTAGGACCGAGCAACATGCAATCCCTAGGCCATCCGAGAATATCCTAGACCTGTCTTTGATGCCATGCAAGCATACATCCGATCAATGCCTTGGAGCTCAATTGAGACACTTCAGGTCCTGTCTGATCTCAAACCAAGATGGCAAATTTCCCTGCGGATTGTCCTATGTGTATTCGTTCCCGCCACCCAGCTGCGCATCAGAAGAGGAACTTGGAAGGGGATCTGGGAGAGTCCTATCGCAATCCACAATGAAGACTAACTTCTCCTATGTAGTTCTGTTTTGTGATAGTCGGTCTCCGTGCAATTCCGTGCAGCCTCGAAACCACAAGCTGCGCTGCCATTGCATGGCGCTGGCACAGGCTGCTGCTGCGGTGTTGAATGAGGCCACCTCCGAATTTCCAGCAGTGCAGTGCTGAGGTGGGAAATCCACAATTTTTCGTTGATTTTCCGATTGAAAACCTCCATGTGAATCACATCGTTTAAAGATGATTTTCCACTCGAATTTTCCATTGCCACGTTTGATTGCCAGAGGGTCGTCGGCTAGTCCTGCTCTTTGTTCAAAGGTTTGCCAGAAATGGTACTGGTCAAAGGGCCTTTGGGTATCAAAATCGCCCACCCACCAGTTTCTGATGACCCCGTGTTGACTATGCGCAAGGCACCTGCGGAGGAGCAAGACCTCGCCTTGGCAAAGCAGGTGTGCAATCTCTGTCCATGCAATGATCTGAATCCAAAATTTAAACTCGCAAGGATCTCTTCCAGCTTTGTCGCAGTGCTGCTCAGGCACACCAACCGTTGCAGCAAATGCAAAGCGATCGTCCATTGAGCTGCCTGACAGTGTCAGCAACCCATCAGATGTGGTGAAACCTTGTTGAGAACATGGCCCAGTCCAAATGCAAGTGGCTCGACGCAAAACAGAAACAGCGTCCAATCAGAATCAACGTCTGTGAAAGTCCGACACTTCGTGCCTGGACCCATGATTGGCTGCGGGTTCAAACCCGACGATGCATAAAGATACTAGTCGGGTGGACAGCTGAAACCGCAACCAAGGAAATATATGGAAATATCATACATAATGCACCACCACCATTCCAAAGTCCCAACTTGGATTTCTTCATGACTTTGTTGGTGGCAAGTTGGTCAAATTCACCATCTTGCACCATCTTTTCCAGCCTTTTCTCAGGGTCATCCCCAGATCCCAAGACATTCCAAGACATCCCAAGACATCCCAAGTGGGCGACCTGTTCACAGGCCCTGATGGCGCTGTTCACCACAATGCCATCCATTTCCTTCGCCCGTTCTGCTTGCTGGAGCAGTTGCAACGCCACGCGCCAGGATGAACCTCATCCCGCGGGAACAAAAATGGCAACTTGGTGACTTAACAAACAAAAAATATATCATAGCTTATGCATGTTTATGCCGAATTCAGCAAACGTGAGTTGGATTTCTCTTGATTTGGAAAGTATCGCACGGGAATACTATATCAGAATCAATATCACCAGGAGATCATGGTTGATTTGATTATGGTATCATCGGGATAGCACCATCAAAATGGGCGAATCGCACACAGATTTGCCAGGTATGAAGGTAGATCTGGTAGTTCCAAGCACTGATAACATCTTCTGACTTGATTGTCTATGCAGTCTTTGGAGCACATTGACATTACACAACATTGCAATACATGGCAACAAATCACACCAATTGGATGTGTTCAGGGTGATCAAATGTTCAAGGGCCATGTAGTTGCACCTAGGGGATCTGATCATTCTTGGCGGCTCCATGTGGCAAAGTTGCCCAGATCACGCAGGTAAAGACATGTTGGTTTGCCCTACAGGGCGCCACCAAATTCGATGGTTTATATTTTCCCCACTCCAAACAGTGTGGCCATTTGTGGGTCTAGACAAACACACAATGCAAATCCCAATTGCCAGTCGCCAACGACTTTCCAGGCAAGTTTCCTCCCACTGCAGTAATTAGCGTCGTGTACGAAATCGCATCCTTGTATTTGCAACGCAACATCCGATAGTTTCTATTCCAGGCCGTACAACACAGTGACACTGGGTATGGCTCAGATTTGGATATACCCGACATGTGGATGACCATATAAACAAACCCACAAAACACCAAAGCCCATGGGGCGGAAAAAGGTATATGGGTTGACTTGCTGCACGAAGGGAAAATGATTGAAAGCAACGTGAAGGACAAAATGAAGCCAATCATGCCCGCCCTTGGCACTAGGGTCTCAACCATCCCCAACAGAGCTCATTAGAGGTAAACGCAAACCGTTGGATAAGGAAAGGCAACACCAGTTCCACCCGCAACTCAGCCGGTCATAGATGAGTTTCTGGTGACAAAGGGCACGCACTCGAACGCAACCTCAAGACACATGTCATGATGAAAAGCTTGGCATTATTCAATTGAGTTGTCAAAAAATGGGACAGCAATGGACCCACAAAATGTGTACAGTACCGTAATGTTTTGTGTTGAATTGTGTTGAGCCATCCACTTTGTTGATGAAGTATCCAGAAATATCCACAATTCTCCGAACCCAAAAGCCATGAATATCCATATGTAAATGTCCATAAAAATCTTATTTAAGTTCATAAATATCCGGAAATACTTCAAAAATCTTGAAAATACCAACACCATCCAATACCTTTCTCTGTCTCTGTCTCTTTCTCTCTCTCTCCCCAGGTAGATGGACGATGAAATCAATCCCCTGCTGTATTGTTGTCGCCCCCAGATCCCCGAGAATTTGGCGGAGAACTAATGGTACAGCACGTCAGCCAGAGTGGGGCAACTTAAAAATGTTGATACCAATATTGGGCAAATGACAAGGTTCAAAAGATAAAGGGGCCTCTCTCTCTCTCTCTGAAGATATTCAGCCTGTCCGCTGTCAAAAGTTTGAAAGAGACGCTGTCAAAAGTTTGAAAGAGACTCTAAATGTGGGTTGTGCCACGATGAAGCCAGTTCGTATTCAAAATGCCAGCAAGGTCTCGTAACACACAATTCAGCACATAAATGTTTCCTATTTAGTTCCATGCAGCGATCCATTGCATAATCCACCTTCTAAACAAATACAGTAACTGCTGGCCATGGAATGATCCTTGCAGGCACTTCCGGCTCCACAGCCCACGAGTGGTCGCCAGACGAGTTAGCAAGCACATTAGAGGCAAATTACTGGGCAAACACGCCATTCACGTGGAGTCAGCTGTCTTTCCGGTCATGCCGTTGTTGGCGATTCGTGTGCGGCGCGCATGTTGCAACCCATTGCCAAACCTTTCTAGCCAGAAGGGAGCCCTTAACCTGACTGTAGACCCGGGCCCAAAGCTTGACCCAACGCTGTAAAACGTCCAAGAACTCGACTCATATCCATCATCTCCATATTTTAAATCCAAACCCAACGTCTCCATTCTCCCAAAGCCGTCCAACTCCAAGACACATTTCCAACACCTCCAGGGCCTTACGCCAACTTTGGGCCTGGGAAATGCTACTCTCAGAGTGGTGTCCTGGTTGAGTTGGCCCCATCCAAATCATCCAACTCAGCTTCAAGTTGAGGTTTTCAAATCGTCCAAGCCTGAGAAAATCTGAGAAATAATCGTGATACATTTGCAGGTGTTTTATAATTTCATAAAGTGTGGTTCAACACGGAGGATCATCTTTTCAATTTCGAGTTTTATCTTCTCTTTGATCCCTCTTTTGCTTGCTGTGCATTTGAAGCCTCTGATGCCTCAATATCCTCAATGCGGGGAAAATATTATACATATATATATATATATCATATTGCAACGGAAATTTGGGCTCGCTAGTTCGATGCAGCCCAGCGCACCTTTTCTCCTCAGCGCTCTGCTTCAAAGGTAAACCAAAAGGGCTGCGGTACATGAACATGAATCATGCTACCTAAGAGGAACAGATCCTAGGTACACCCTATACACCAACACGCCTCCCGAGGGGAACGTGACTCAGGTCTGTTACCCGAGCTTGGTGTAAACTGTCTCAGATTCGTCACCAGGCTCAAGCCCTTCAGTCTAAACATCGAGAGCTAGACCATGTCGTCCAGTTGCATAGAAGTAGTTCATGCCCTCGAGTAGTGTACGGACTCGTGCTTGATCTAAGGGTTTCGTGAGTAAGTCTGCCAACATCTTCAGGGTCGGTTGTTTGCCCAGAGATATGCGTTTGGCATTGACTGCGTCCTGGACCCACAGAAAGATGGTGTCCAGATGCTTCACTCTTCCAAGTCCGTGTCTTGAACCTATTGATAAACCTGTAGTTGAATCCATCCAGATGTGGATGGGGAACCACCGTCCCCAGTCTCGAAGGACTGACTGCTCACCAAGGGCATTGCATGCTGCAGATGTAAGCGAGTAGTATTCCGCTTCTCCGCTAGAGAGCGCGATCACGGCCTGACCTTTGCAACTCGTTTTCGTCGTCGATCCTCCGATTCGAATGCAATAGCCAGTTGTGCACACCAAACCTCTAGGCGATGCGCTGTCTGTTGAAACGGAAAGAGGTGGATGAGTCTCGGTTTGTTCTTTAAATACCGAGCGCCACGTTTGAGCATCGTCCAATGAGCTTTGGTAGGATTCTTCAACCCTTTTGCTAACTCCTTGGCCAGCACCTGTAGGTCTGGTCTGTCTTGTGCCAAATAGGCTAGCCGCATACTCACCGAACGATACCTAGGTACATCTGAAGATTCGAGAGGTTCAGAATTCTCCACTTCCTCCAATCTTTCTTTGACCAGAGCCGTAGTAACTTTGGCTCCATCGCATCCCATTTCGCGAATGATGAGTTCAGAATGGCGGGGGTCTGCTTCCAGTTCAATCCCTCGCTCAGTCCATGTCACCAATCGGTTCAGAATGTCAATGCTTTGCTTGGTTCCAGGCATCCCTGGCGGACCCAAATAACCACGATTTTCCACCGTCCAGTGTTTTCCAAGTTCTGTAGCGAACCACTTCAACTGATCCTGAGCGCCAAGACCAGTGAAGTCGTCTCCATGGACTTCCACTCTGATACCTCGAACTGAATGAAAGTAAAGGCAACTGTTTGACCTTCCTTGCACAAATCCCAAGAGGGTCATTACGCGAAGGATCGTCGCCTCCCAATTGGCTGGCGCATCTCTGGTCCCATATAGGGACTTTTTCAGAAGTCCTACGAACTTCTGCGTATCAACACCAGTTTCAATTGGTAACTCCACCAGGATGCGTCTCCGGGCATCTGCCCAGAAATGGGCTTTCTTAATATCCAGGAAAATTAAGCACTGATTGCGGGGCAATTCCTGCATTCGGCCATCCAATCCTGGTACTCTCCGAGTGGTGGCCAATGCGAACAAAGTCCGCAGTGCACTGATTGGCGGCATAGATGCGTAGAAATCTTGCCATGACGGTGTGTGTGGATCCGAAGATACTCCACTACGGAACGTCTTTTTCAGCTCGCGTGCCACCAGTCGGCTGCGATACTTTGGCTGACGTTCGTCTTTCTTGTTGATGTCAACCCATCTGGTCGATACGGTCTTTTCGTTCTTTGGGCGTGGGATCACTTCCCACACTTGCATCTCTTTGATGGTGGACAGCTCCTCCAAACGGGACTCGCGAACAAGTTCCGGTTTCAGAGGTTTCCCCGATATATCGTCATAGTATGACGTCTCGAATTCCTCATACCCACTTGTGTCGAATTTCTCTTCGCACACTGGATAAGGGTCTCCGGCGACAGAATTAAGAAAACCTTGCCGCAAGCTGAGTAAGAAGTTTGTCACCATCGCATCTTCTGTCTCTGCAGGCCTTTTCCGAGAAGTGGCTGACTCCTCGGAGACTTCCATGTTCTGTGGTTGTGAGACACTTGAGCTAGGGCCAGATGCTGAAGCAGCACTCTGACCGCTGGTTGCTCCTGGACCAGGTGTCGAAACGACACTCTCATCCGTTGACACTCTCGCTTTCTTTGCACTTTCGCTATGAATCTTCTTGTGAGGACTCGCCTCCTGACCATTAGTCTCTTCCGCGTTTCTCTTCTCTGTCAATCCTGACCCGGACCTGGGACCGGGTACCGACACGGTACTCCGATCCTTGGACCCTCCGTCAGGCTGTTCAACCTTCCGAGCCTTGACGGGCCCTTCCTTGCGCTTGGCAGCTTCCAAACGCTTTCGACCTTCTGTGGTTTCTTCCAATTTCTCCACCAACCTCGCTCGGCAAAATTCCGTGTGGTGGACTCCTTCACGTGAAACACCGGCACGAATTAAATCACACGCCGGACAGGACGCTGTGTATCCATGTTTGTCCAAATCCGTTTGACG